TATAAAAATACCTTCATGAATTTGGGACTGGGAATTTTTTTTAAATGAGACAATTAAAGCACAAACCATAAAGAAAAACATGATAAATTTGACTACATTAAGAATAAGAACTTATATTAATCAAATATACCATGAAGAAAATGAAGCCACTGAGTGAAAGAAGAAATTTGCAACTCATACAACTGAAGGGACTCATATTCAGAATATTTAATGAGCTACATTATCAACAAGAAAAAGGTCCCCCCAACAAAGTGTGCAAAGGACTTGAATGGCAAATTTTCTCCTCCAGAAGGAAATTGCAATGGGAATAAGTATATGGAAAGGATTTCAACTTTATTATAATAATAACACTATTTTCCACCTCTGCATTTTGTCCCACTGGAAGGTCTTTAGAGGCAATAATATGCATAAAGCTGTCATCTCCTAGATAACAATGCCTTCTTTTGGAATAACCCCTGAAGGACATTTCTAAAGCTGTTTTACAGTTAATTTTTTTAATAAGTAAAAGGAATGCATTCTAAAATATAATAAAAAGCATAGTATAGTAAGTACATAAGCCAATAACACTGTCATGTATTATCAGGTATTAGGTACTATACATAATTGTATGTGCTATACTTTTATATTACTGGCAGTGCAGTAGGTTTGTTTATACCAGCATCACCACAAATATGTGAGTAATGCATTGTGTTACATCATTATGATGGCTAGGATGTCACTAGGTGATTGGAATTTTTCAGCTCCATTATAGTGTTGTGGGACCACCATTGTATATATGGTCTGTTGTTGACTGAAAAATTTGCAGCATATGACTGTAAACCAAAATTAGATAATAACTGGTGAAGTGTTTATTAATAAAATGTAGAGTGAAAAATAGTGAGTTTTTTAAAAAGTTTATAATATAATATTAAAAACAACAAATATAAACAATCTGGATGAATTATCTTTGTACCTTTCTGCTTTTCCTGAAGTTAATATATATAAGTAAAACATGAATAAGATTTTAAGAAAATGTGTGCCTAGTTAAGCATAAAATTTTATATCATCCAATTTTTCATGTTTATCCTATTGTAGGAACATTATACTTTCCTTTTTTCTACCATATTTATTTCTGTTTTTTAGGACCTGTTATTTAGAAACCTAATCTTTAGTTATTTCATTTTAAATAATCATTTTCTACAGGTATTTGATGCAAATGGAGTTGATGTTACTCCTCGACCTCTTTACCATCCAGATCCACATAGTGGTACAGCAAAGCCAAATAAACTCTTGACATCACAAGAAGGATCACTTGGTTCAGAATTTATAGCTTCCTATAGCCTTTACCAGAATACAATAAATCCTAGTATGTTAGGGCAGTTTACAAGGTAAAGTATACTGTTCTGTAGTTCTTTTTTGTATCATATATATTCTTTCCATTTAAATTGCATATATGAAATGTAGATATCAGTTGTCTCCAGTTGTCCAGCTTAAATCTATCATCCTATTATGACATCTCTGCGTTCCTTTCATGTTTTAATTAGATGCAGAACTCTTCATGTCTTAAAAGTTCCCATATACTCAGAACAAAACTTTTGTGAAAACTATATATATTTTACTCAAGATTTCCTGAGAAACCAAAATATGGGACTAACATCACATACAGTTAATTGTAAATTCTCATTAAATATTTTTCTTTGGCTTCTTTTGTTCTGCATTTTATAGAAAGAGGTGGCTTTCCTTTTTTCACCTATTCTCCCATGCAAATTTCTGTTCTGTTAGGGTTTAATTTCTTTCTTATTTTATAATACAAAGCAATTATATTCTGCTCTAGAGGCTGCCTCCAAATTTGCATACAAAAACATGCGCTTTTCAGATACTCCAATAAACTTGACATAATCTTTTGGTGGGCAGTCGCAACTATAAATAGAAAGGGGAAAAAAGCATGTAATATCATGAAGTGATGTTAAGTTCATTTGTTTAAGGAAATTATTTTTTGATTCTTCCATTGATTTCCTATTGAATACATATATTTTTAAATAAAATCTTAAGGGAGGACCTTTATGAAATTAAATAAATCACATTTTCAAGATGAGATTTGAACAATGAAGAGAAGCCAGGTGAAAAATGAAAGGAAAAGTATTCTAGGCTAAGGACTTGATGTAAAAGAGCTCTATAAGATTGAGGAGCTGGAGAAAAAAAAGGTAAATGAAGAGTCATAATAAAGATAAAGAGGGTAGGTAGGGTGAATTTTGTATTTTGGTACTAAATGTATTGGGAATTCATTGAGGACTTTAAGCATAAGTTTGATGTGTCTTTCCTCTGAAAAATATTTTAAATAACTTTTTAATTTAATGAACATTAGAAATAAACTCATTGTTTAAAAATTAATTTCAATCTATTTTACTTATTACAGTATATTTGATTTCTACATCTGATAATGTTCTAATTTATATATTTAATTACCCATAAGGGCTTCTAAATAAATAAGTAATGTTGATTATTAAAGATCAGTTTTAGGAAGCAGTACAGTTTCTAAGTCAAGTGCATCGACAACTGAATCAATAGCAGAAGACATAGAAGAACCATCTTTTAAGCGAGAAAGACTGACTAGTTTTACAGGTAATGAAAATACACTTGCTCATTTCAGTAACAGTCCATTATTTATTTAGTCAATATGCTTATTATTTGTTGGGTACTTGAAATAAAAGAAATGTAATGATTTCCAAATGCTGACTTGTGGAGTAGCTAGCTACATGAGAATTACCGGGGGAATATATCTCTATTTTTTTTTTAAGTTCCCAAGGTGATATTTTTGAACTATCAGCCTGAGGAATTATTGGCTATGTGCTAGAGCTCAATTTCTAACTTGGGAGACAAATAATTCTGATACATTTGTGATCAGTTCCATGATGATGTTTGTGGAACGTGATGGGAGCACTTAGAAGGGAATGATTAACTCCATTGAGGTGGAGGAAAAAAGGCTTCACAGAGAACATTATTGACTTTTGAATTGGCTTTTTAAAGATGACTAGTCATTTGTCAGGAGAACAAATAGGGGAAGCCCAATCCAGGCAGAGGGTAAAATATGAGGTAATACAAAGGATTATGAAAATGAAGATACAAGAATGAGGAAATAATAGATGATCAAAAGTGCTGGGAGAAAGGATTACTTACTTGAGGGATACTTGCTTTGGAGTGCAAGAAGGATGTCTTTTTCTCTGAAATGATCAGTGATTGGTGAAGATATTGATAAGGTTGGAAGAGTGGTGCTTTATGGACTCTACCTTTGGTGTTGGGAGATGTAACAGAAATGCTTCTGACAGCAAATAACAGAATACACAACTAACATGAACTTAAACAAATATTTATTTTTCTCACATTAAAAGAAGAGACAGATAGCTTTCGTCTTTGACTTTTTTGGCTCAATTTTGTCAGAATTTGGATTGGCAGTTCTGCTATTCTTTTTCCCAAAGCCTTTTCTTCTTGCCTCATGGTCTCAAAGTATCTTCCCCAGCTCTGGGCATTTTATCCACATTAAAGGCAGAAAGAAGAAGAAAGGCAGTAGCAGCAGTCACATCTCTCATTTATCAGGAAAGTAAAAAAATTTCCTAGAAGCCTTTCCCCTTCCTTTGTATTTCTGCTTTCATCTCATTGGCCAGAACTGTGTCACATGGCCACCCTTAGCTTCAAGAGAGGCTGGGAAAGCGAAATACCTGATTTCCCAACCTCTTTTAATGGAAAGAGGCAAGGGAAGGGAGAAGGGATAAGGAATAAAAACTTAAACAAATAGCAATTAGTAAATGATTGTTATCGTCATGTATTTTAGATTTACGAGTTACAAAGGCAACACCTGAAAAAATAACAAAAGAAGACCTGGAAAAGAATATAGAGATAATACTCACAGAGACAGAAACACTGAGATTTTTTGACTTGCCAACAGTCATGGTCTCTGTAGAAGCTGAAGAAGCTGAGAAAGTAGCGTATGTATGGTTCAGTTGTCTACATAGCTTCTGTAATTCAAATGCTAAACCAGGGGTTCTTATCCTTGTTTCTGTGAAGGGTCCTTGGGGATTCCTGGATATGTTGGGGGAGGGTATATTCTCAGAGAAATTATAAGTAAAGTTATATAAGTGCCTTGTGAAATTATATGGAAAGTGTTTGTGTTGTATGTAAATTTTTCTAAAGGAAGAACCCATAGCTTTACCATATTTTTAAATAATTAAGTGAACTTCTAAGCCAAATAATAAAAGAAATAAAAGACGCTCTTAAGTCTCTATATAGGTTTTAGTTATTTTTTATACATATATAAATTATTTTACATTTAAAAAAACTGATATTTTATACTTAAATCTTAAGAAGGGAAAATATGGGGAAATAAATGAATTTACTATGTTGGAGCAGTTTTTTTATTTCTCTTTATTAATGAATATAAGTATATTATTAGTTTTGGCCTTATGTGTTTTGACACTCTATTGTTAGGCACATACACATTAAGGATTGTTATGTTTTCTTCTTCTTTTTTTTAATGAAACTATAAAACATGAGAACATTACATTTTCTTGGAGAATTGACCCCTTTATCATTTTTTAATTGCCCCTCTTTATCCCTGATAATTTTTCATGCTCTGAGGTCTGCTGTGTCTAAAACTAATATAGCTACTATAAATAGATCATTAATAGTTATTCAGATTATTTTGCCTCAAATATTATTTGAGTATGATTCATAGTGGTAAAAAATCTATCATAAAATAATTTTAGAATATTATCCCTTAAAATATAAAATATTATAAAAGTTATTTGGATTATAAAATATAGTACAATTAGATTGAGAATAGCATAATTTTAAACACTCATAAGAAGTAAGGGAAAGCTCCTAGGACCCACCCCCCAAAAAAGGAAAGAAAAAAACAAGAAAGGAATAGATAACTGATTTGAAATCAGAGAGAGACAGATGCTGAGGACAAATGTTAATATTAGCACATGGATCTGGAGCCCAATGGTAAGTCTTGGGTTTCTCCCATAAAATTAAGAAAGCTGAAAGAGAGATTCTTGTATTAAGCCAAGACCCTCAAAAAGGGCTTAATTATCTCAGTTGGTCTTAGGTCAGTAGGGTCTTTTGGCTACTACTGTAAGAAGAAAACACAAATCTCCGGAGGAAAGCATACCCCATTTAAGCTTTTAAGATTTCCTCAGATTGAATTTGGTAAAAATACACCAAACCATTGAAGAAACAAGTCATTATGGATAAGAATAAACAGAAATAACAAACCCTAGCTCTAGATCCTGAGGACTATAGATACTTATATTATCAGATATAGACTATAAAATGTGTGTGAAATGTTTAAACAAATAAGAGACAGAGTTAAAACATGATTAACATTAAGAAATTATCAAAATCATGACTCCCATTTAGAAAAATATCTAAAAAACTTTAAAATATGTTCATATAATTGTTGAAAATAAAGAGTAAACATTGATTTAAACATTATATTAGACATAATTGAATGGTGATTCAGTGAATTAGAAAATACGTCTGAATAAATTATGCCAAATCAAGTTTGGAGAGAATGTGAGATATTAAATATGAAAGAGAAGTTTAAAAATGTTGACAATAGAATAATGGTCTAACATATATCTAATCAGAATTTCAAAAAAGCAGAATAGTAAGAATGGAGGAGAAGCATTATTCAAAGAGAATAGGTAAGAACTTTCCCAAACTATTGAAAGATACCATTCCACAGAAACAGGAATAAATAAAAAGAAATCTACAAAAAAGAAATGTACTCAGTGCATTGTACTGGCACTACAGAATACCAAATATAAAGAGAAGATTATAAAAATAGAAGAAAAATATCACCTCCAGACAAATAATTAAACTGACAGCATTATTAGGGATAGAGGTTACTTCCTAATGATTAAAGTAGAAGATTTAAACACACCTCTCTTAATTATTGACAGGTTAACCAGAGAACAAATTAGTATGGATATAGAAAATTAGAACAAAAACTTAATTTAATGGTCATATACAGACTTCTGTACCCAATAATTAGAGAACACATTCTCTTCAAGCATATATGGAACACTTATAAAAATCGTCTATACACAAGGCCATGAAGCAAGGTCTCAAAAATTTCAAAGAAGTGAAATTATACAAACTAAATTCTCTGGCCACAATGCAATGAAATTAAAATTTAATAACATAAGCCACATGGTGGCTCAATCCTATAGTCCCAACACTTTGGGAAGCTGAAGTGGGAGGATCACTTGAGGCCGAGAGTCTGAGAGAAGCCTGGGTAACTAAAGAGACCACCATCTCTATTAAAAAAAAAAAAAAAAAATTTAAGAAAATTAATAACAAAAAACTCAACGAAAACCCTAAAATGGACACACATTGACATGCATATTTGGAATTTCCAGAGCATGTTTCTAAATTCCTCATGGATCAAAGAAGAAATCATAATAGAAATTTTAAAAGTATTCATAACTAAAACCTATGTGGAGTTAGTGTTGGCATATTATTGGTAGGTACTGAAAGTAGTAGGGACATTGGAAGGTACAGTATAAAAGACTTCTTTGCAGGTCATTTAATGCAATCTTTTCCAAAGGATTTTTTTGAACTCTCACTTTACCTTTTGGTACAATCCACATTAATGAAAGATTTAATAATTTTAAAGAAAAGAATAAAATAAAGAGATGATATGTGTGGTAATAGTTTTTATTAATAAGTTGAGTGTACTTTATGTTTTACAGCCAGAGAAACAGGAAATATGACATCCTTTGTAGAAATAGGTTAGGCAATGACCTGTATGTTGAAAGGATGATGCAGACTTTCAATGGAGCACCAAAGAATAAAGATGTTCAATGCGAAAAAATCATAATGGAAGACAAAGGTAATTTGTTTTATTCTGCTTGATAAAACACCATGTTTTAATATATGTTCTTTGAGTCTGTCAATCAGTAAATAAATGTTGAAATATATAAAGCAAAAATAGAAATAATTTGGCCAAATCACAGTAGTAGTTGAGTACTATGATCTATAGCTTTCAGAATTTGACAAATAAGTTAACAAGTAGTAAAGAATAGAAGATTTGAATAACATAATTATCGATCTTGATTTTTATGCATACCCATGTCACAGAATTTTATATTTTTTAAACGTTCAGGAAACATTTATAGAAACTGATTATTGGCTGGGTACAGTGGCTCACACCTGTAATCCCAGCACTTTGGGAGGTCAAAGAAGGAGAATTGCTTAAGGCCAGGAGCTCGAGACCAGCATGAGCAACATAGAGAGACCCTGTCTCAACAAAAACTAAAAAAAAAATTAGCGGGCATGGTGGTCCATGCCTATGGTATCGGGTACTCAGGAGGCTGAGGCAGCATGATCACTTGAGCCCAGGAGTTTGAGGTTACAGTGCACTATGATTGTGCCACTGTACTCCACTCTGGGTGACAGAGCCAAGATCCTGTCTCTAAAAAAAAAAAAAGGATGATGCTGTGATCCTCCCTCTGCCTCAGCCTCCCATGTCGCAGGGATTACAGGTGCCAGACACTGCACCCAGCCGATTCTTCTTGGTAAAATATTTGAAATAAAAAGCAAGCTTCTTGCTTAAATGTGAACCACTAGAAATAATAATTGCTATGATTCAATAAATATAAGAACTGGAAAATGTTGTCACCACAATTATTCACATTGTTTTGGCAGTTCCAACCATTTCTGTAAGACAAAGACAGATATGGAACGTTAATATTTATAAGGAGAAAACCAAATTATCATTATTTGTAGGTGACCTTAATGTCTACTTAGATACCTCAAGAGCATCAACTAAAGAACAATAGTTCCAGGATGATACAGCAAAAATGGCAGAGTGGGTAATCCTAACAACAAGTCCTTCCACAGAAATGCCCCCAACATTGAGCAAACACCGTCAGTATGAACTTTGTCAGAACTCCGGAAAATAGTCAAAGGTGTACAACAACCAAGCAAGTGCTGAATCAAGAAAAAGTCAACTTAGAATTGCTAGGAAAGCTTTGTAGAATCTTTACTTGCTCTTGCCTACTCCTCTCCCTAGTGCGATGGTGGTCTTAATGATAACAGCCCACCTTACCAATGTGAGACTCTGACTCATGGTTCCAGAGGAAACATAGCACATCTTATTCTCAAAGAATTCAGTTTGTCTGTTTTGTCCTGTCTGGGGACTACCTAGAGGACTGATACAAGCATTTGTCCTTTTTTCACCAAACTTGAAACTCTCCCAAGCAATAAAGCAGCTACACATAGGACATTCCTCAAAAGCATTCTAAGGAAAATGAACAATTCACTGCTACTTGAGGCAAGAGAATACAGTTGAGTCAAACAAGAGACATGTTAAAAGCCTGAGAAAGAAAGCTGGAAAGTGAGTTTTTTTGGGAAATTAGAGTACTGAAAAAGGCCTGCATATACAGAGAAATTTAGAAAGTCACACATATGCCTAGGCCAGGACGTGTACTCAGAAAAGATCTAAGTCTTTACCTGTGGCTGATTTCTAGCCTTAGTACACATAAGGAAGTGAAGGCTAATGCATAGTTTTTAATAGCCTGACTAAGTATTGAAGGAATATTTCAACACAGAACAAGTCTGCAGAGACTGGGAGAAGAGTTTTTTCTTTTCTTTGTTTCTTTCCTTCTTTTTCTTTTCTTTTTCTAGAGGGTGGGAGTGGGGTTGGTGAGGGGAGATCTAGGCATTCAAGGAAATTTTTATTTTGGGGGGAGGTGGGGGAAGCAGAGCCCTGGCCAGAAGCCAGGCGCACGTGCTTCCTCAAGGAAGTCTTTATCAGGACACTAGCTGACCACAAGCTATAGAACAGAGATTTCTGAGATGATAAATGACAGAGAACACAGACTTTACAAAAGTAGTTTAAAAAAAATCACTAAGTCAACAAACTATCCATCTAAACTATAATACAAAAACCAAAAACTACAAACTACGGCTACTATCCACAGAAAACTACAAAAACAAATTCAGAGGAGCAGGAAAAATCTGAATTTAAGAGTCACCACATTATAATAATCAAAATGTTAAGCTTTTCAACAAAATATTACAAAAGATACAAAGGAACCAGAAGGTATGTCTCCTTAAAATAATAATGTAACAGAAACTCTCTGTGAGGAAATAGAGACATTGGACTTCTAGACAAAGACTTTAGATCAGTTTATTAAACATGCTCA